CAAGCATCTTCTCTGACCATAGTGGTATGAAATTAGAAATCAATTGCAAGAAAAAAACTGAAAATCACACAAACATATGGAGGCTAAATAACATGTTACTAAACAATGAATGGGTTAACAATGAGATCAAGGAAGAAATCAAAAGATACCTTGAGACAAACGAAAATGAAAACACAACAACCCAAAATCTGTGAGACAACCGAAAACAGTCTTAAGAGGGTCCCTTGTAGACAGCATATATTTGTGTCTTATTTTCTTGTCAAGAAACAAGGAAAATCCCAAATAAGCAATCTAATCTTACACATAAAGAAACTAGAAAAAGAATAGCAAACAAAGCCCAAAATGAGTAGAGGTAAGACAATAATAAAGATCAGAGTGGAAATAAATGAAACAGAGTCTAAAACACACACACGCACACACACACAGTACAAGAGATCAACAAAACCAAGAGCTGGTTTGTACAGCAAAAGAAACCATCAACAAAATCAAAAGACAACCTATTTGCCAATTATACATTCAATAAGGGGTTAATATCCAAAATTTATAAAGAACTCATTCAATTTAACACCCTAAAAACAAACAACCCAATTAAAAACTGGGTAGAGGACCTGAATAGACACTTCTTAAAAGATGATATACAGATGGCCAATAGGCCTATGAAAAGATGCTTAATATCTTTAATCATCAGAGAAATGGGAATGAAAACCACAATGAGATATCACTTCACATCTGTCAGAATGGCTATCATCAATAAATCAACAAATAACAAGTGTTGGCAAGGATGTGGAAAAAGGGGAACCCCCATACACTGTTGGTGGGAATGATGCGGGTGCAGCCACTATAGAAAACAGAATGGAAGGTTCTCAAAAAAAAAAATGGAACTGCCTTATGACCTAGCAATTCTAATTCTGGCTATATATCTGAAAAAAACCCAAAACACTAATTCCAAAGAATATATTCACCCCTATGTTCATTGCAGCATTATTTGCAATAACCAAAATATAGAATCAACCCAAGAACCCTTCAACAGACCAGTAGATAGAAAAAGTAGTGGTACATATATACAATGGAATATTACTTAGCCATTAAAGGAATGAAATCTTACCGTTTGTGGCAGCATGGATAGTATTAAGCTAAGTGAAATAAATCAGACAGAGAAAGACAAATACCATATGATTTTACTTATATGTAGAACCTAAAGAACAAAATAAATGAACAAACAAAATAGAAACAGACTCATAGTTTTGGATAACAGACTGGTAGTTACCAGAGTGGAGGGGGTTTTGGATACTGGGTAAAATGTTGAAGGAATTAAGAAGTACAGATTGGTCCCAGCCAGTGTGGCTCAGTGGTTGAGCATCAACCTATGAACTAGGAGGTCATGGTTCAATTCCTGGTCAGGGCACATGCCCGGGGTTGCAAGCTCAATTCCCAGTGAGGGACATGTAGGAAGCAGCTGATCAATGATTCTTTCTCATCATTGATGTTTCTCTCTTTCTCTCTCCCTTCCTCTTTGAAATCAATAAAAACATTTTTTTAATAAAATAAAAATTATCACAGGGATAGGGAATATAGTCAGCATAGGGAATATAGTCAATAATATTGTAATAACTATGTATGGTGCCAGGTGTTTATGTGAATTATCAGGGGGATCACTTTGTAAATTTATATAAAACTAGAGGCCCGGTGCACGAATTCGTGCATGGGTGGGGTCCCTCAGCCTGGCAGTGATCTGGGCCAATCGGGCCGTCTCACCCAGTCCTAATTGGGGCCAATCGGGCCAATCGGGGGGAGGGACCTCAGGAGGTTGCCTGGCCACAGAAGGTTGGCTGTGGGAGCACACTGATCACCAGTGGGCAGCTCCTGCATTAAGCATCTGCCCCCTGGTGGTCAGTGTGCATCATAGTGACCGGTCGATGGGTTGTTCAGTCGACCAGTGGTAAAGGTCGCTTAGGCTTTTATATATATAGATATATAGATAATATTGAATGTCTATTGTAATTGAAAAATAAAAATTTTTTAAAAGAAAACAAATAAGGAACCACCCACTTCATTATATGAGACCAACATCATTTTGCTTTAAAACTGTAGGCCAAATAAAATATTATCAAATCAAACCAATAGGGAAAAAAATAAACAATTTAATAAATGGTATTGGGACAATTGACTATACACATACTTGGAAGATATAAGTTCCAGATGAATTAAGGACAAATCTAATATTTAAAACATGTTATAGAAGGTGAAGAGATTAGCCAAAGAGCATATATGCATAGCCCATGGACATAGGTAATAGTGTGGTGATGGCCAGAGGGAGGGGGACAGAGGCTGGGTGGAGGTGGGTAAAGGGAGAGAAAAAGGAAGACACCTGTAATACTATCAACAATAAATAAATAAAAACAAACATGTTATAAACTTGCACTTAAGTAAGACCTTCTTAAATAAGACTTGCTTAGCACCACATCCTCCTGTGTGACTTAGAACACATTATTTAGCTTTCTGAGGTATTGTGTTGTTGTTGTTTGTAATCAATAGAATAGAGATGATAATAGAAGTATTGTGAAATACACTCTGATCTGCCAAAGTATAAATCTCATTTGTTACATTAAACTTTGTGGTTTAATGGTTGTATCCAGTTCTGTATACCTCAGTCCTCTGGAGGTACTGAAATTTTATTTTTCCTGCTGCTATTAAGAACATATTTGAGCCTGGCTGGTGTGGCTCAATTGGTTGAGCATCGTCCTATACACCAGGAAGTCACTGGTTCAATTCCCAGTCAGAACACATGCCCAGGTTGCAGGCTCAATCCCCAGTAAGGAGTGTGTAAGTGGCAGCTGGTCGATGTTCCATTCTCACATCAATATTTCTCTTCCTCTCCTTTGCTCTCTCTGAAATCAATAAAAACATTTTTTTTTAAAGAGAACATATTTGAGTCCAGCTGGTGTGGCTTGGTAGTTGAGTATTGACCTATGAACCAGGAAGTCAAGGTTCAATTCCCAGTCAGAACACATGCCCAGGTTGCAGGCTCGATCCCCAGTAAGGAGTGTGTAAGTGGCAGCTGGTCGATGTTCCATTCTCACATCGATATTTCTCTTCCTCTCCTTTGCTCTCTCTGAAATCAATAAAAACATTTTTTTTTAAGAACATATTTGAGTCCAGCTGGTGTGGCTTAGTGGTTGAGTATTGACCTATGAACCAGGAAGTAGAGGTTCAATTCCCAGTCAGGGCACGTGCAGGACTGTGGGCTCGTCCCTAGTATGGGGCATGCAGGAGGCAGCCGATCCATGATTCTCTCTCATCAGTGATGTTCCTATCTCTCTTTCCCTCTCTCTTCCTCTTGGAGAACTATATATTTTAAGAACATATTTGAGTCTAATATGCAGAAATTCTTCTTCTGTTAACTCCTATATCTCAGCACCTCTAGAAATGACAAAATTTTCTCCTTCAACATTTTTGACAAGTTTTTAACCTATTGACATGATTTCTTGCTGATATATGATTATATATGTCTGTACAAACACAGCAAGAGATCCAGGAATTCTGGATATTCTTTTGATTTTTCTCCTTTTAAGATTTATTCCCACAAGAAGAAAATAATTCTTTTTAATCTAACTTAATGGGTCACTTTCAAGAACTCTCTCCACTCCTTTATCAAGCAGACGTAAAAACATGTTAAAGTCATTTATTTTTCCTCTTGAACAAAAAGATAAAAAGACAAATCCTGTTTCATTGGTAAAACTATTATACTGTTTATTTGCCTGTGTGTTTTGTTTTCTTTTCCCCTTCCCTGATGACCAATTCTCTGATAAAGTAACTCTATGTCTAGATCAAGACTCAGTTTCAGGTGACAGAATCCAATTCAAACCAACCCAAGGAAATTCCTAAGGGAATAAATTGGCTTTGGTAGGTGGAAAGTCCAGGGCTGGGTATATCTTCAGGCATAGCTGGTTTGCATGGTTAAGGCCTAGCTCCACCTGATCGGCATGGAATAATTCCCCTCAAAAAGAGGCGGAGCCGTCTCAGCAGAAACAGAGAAGAAAGCACTGAACTGGCAAAAGCAATAACTGTCCACAGCAGTAATGGAAGATGTGTCCTGGTTCACATGGTGCCTACACTGTCGTCTGCTCCCTCAGGTCATTGTTTGCACAAGGGGTAGCAACATTACAGCAGTCTTGATGGGTCATGAAGCCTGGACGTATTTGCTTCAGTTCCTTGACTGTGTCTCAGTAATGAAGTTAGAAAACAACTTGCCTGCACTCCGTTTGCTGTTTTGCACCCATGTTATCTGTTGTGATATTCATTAACAACCCATATTTTGGGGTGTGTGTGTGTGTGTGTGTGTGTGTGTGTGGCTAAATTAGGAGAGATGCTCATAACCTCATGAGATTTGAGTGAAAAGTCTTCTACAAAGGTTCTGAGTCTCATTTTCCTAGAACTGCAGAGAGTTGCTGAGGCTTTGTCATCCATGTCTGAAGGCCTAAGTGCGGTGGTTCTTGATCCTTGGCCTGTTAGCATTGCCCTGGACATCTGCTGAGGGAAAGGACCCGCGCTGCAGGGAGTGGAGGAGGCCTGTAATTGCGTTGGGAGCCACAGTGTCATTGTTCTGCACTGCAGACATGTTGGCACAGTTGCCAAATGCTTGGCCCACTCCTGGGACTCCCGGGGCTCTCTCCACCCCAGGAGTATGACTGTCTTCTCCCATTCCCTCTGCCTCAGGAGAGGTGGAGACAGCTTCCAATTTTTTGTTCCAAAATTAGGTTTGTTTGTCCTCTCTGCACTCCTTCCATTCCCTCTCTCCACAGTCTCTCCCCAGTCATTAGAATGCTTTGTCTCAAGCACAGGAGCAGCGAGGGGCTATTGGTAACCATAGGCAACCAAGAACCTGTAGTAGCTATTTGTGCTATCTTTGTGAGGCGCAATCTAGCCACTAGCTGGGTAGACAGAAAAATGTGCCCTACAGGTTTCCTTGTACAGTAAAATATCGGCTTCTCTGTTTTTAGAACGACCAGTTCATGGGCGAGATGCAGATGATTGGAGGCTATGGTCTTTCAATACTGGCAGGAAAGGTTTGCTCAGTTCGCACTGATGCCTGACGTTGTGGGGAAATCAGTGACCTTCATTTCAGGTCGGCACTTGCAATACATTTCAGACACTCTCCAGGGTTTGCTAATTCATGCAAATGGATGTGTGAACTCTTGTAATGATTTCTCCTTTATAAAACACTCCTTTATAATGCTTCCAGGACATGATGCAGACCAAATCTTTCGTCTGCGAGCTTTCTTCCAATCTTATTTCAGACAACCTCGTATTGCAAAACCCCTTGGCACTCCTTGTTCTTTCTTGTCTGTTCACCCTTTCAGGTGCCTCCTGAAAAGGAGGCTTTTCCCTTTACTTGTCTGCTTTATGTCTCTCATCTATGCCTCAGCACCCAGGCACTTCAGTAAGACATTTCATACACAGGTTTGTTGAAATGTACAAAATTGGGGGAGAGAATAAAAAAGACTTTTGAGACAGCACGTTTTTCAGCCCTTTGCCCTTCCCCCCTTATTAAAAAGATTTAACCCGTTAGATCCTGGGGAAAACGCCTTCCATTTTAACATGGGATTCCAAAACTTGCCAAGGCTTAGCAATCCAGTGGGGGAGGGAAAAATGTTTGGATTCTGACATAAATGCATGCATCAGAAGAAAGAGTGTTTCATAAAGCAGTTGCTCTTTGCATCAATGTGACCTGAAGTGAAAGTTTTGCTGTAAATGAAAGCAACACAGATTTTGTTTTTGCTCAGCTCTCCCTCCTGATATACCTTGTATCCATTATCTCTGAACTGCTCCAGCTTTCTAAGTAAAATGGCTCAGTCTGTAACACAAGCTTAATCTCTCCTATTTGCGGTTGTTATTGTTATGCAATGGCCGAATGGTACACAAGCTTAATCTCTCCTCTCTATTTGCGGTTGTTATTGTTATGCAATGGCCGAATGGTGGAAAGGAATACCAGTCCCATTTAATCACAAAATGAATAATAACACTCAGGACACTCCAACGCCATAAGGACTCATTACAAAACAGCTACTTCCCTCGACTCTGAAGGCAAATTGTGGCATCCAAGTGTTAAATTACTATCTAGTAGTAAATTATGTTCCATAGAAATGGGAATTAACTTGATGTTAACATAGCACTAGGCCACCATTTGATGTTACTACTTCAGTGTATAGAATAACATGCTAGGAAGCTAAAATACGCAAAGCAATTTCTCAAAATTCATAACTTTTAATACCCCTGGAGTGGTCTTTAAATGATGTCATTTTATTTTTTTTTCATCTTTTAACTTACCTTTATTTTATTTTTATGAAATGTATAATTTTATCGCTATTTGAAAATTTGCATGTGTCAGTCCATGGTAGCTGGTAACCTGAAAGAATCATTTGTCAGGCTAGCGAAGGTTGAAGCCGACTCCTGTCCTTCTTTTACTGCTGGCTGGTTTTCCATCTCTCCTACCTCTACTTCCATGACCCATAATGTATCAATGTATGTATGTGTAAGTCTATAGTAATATGTTTAACTTAATGTGTGTGGTAAGATCACCCAACTTAAATAGTACATTTTTATCAAATGGGGAAGTAAACATCAGAGATAAAGCTAGGTTGCAGCCTGTAATATTGTGGAAATACGTCATAAGTATTCCTGAAAGTCAAAAGCTAGCAAGTGATAGTGAGCACAGCCCAACATTAAGCTACATCTGTTTTATATAGTTTTTGTATGCAAATGTTAGTTCAATATGAAGCGTTGCTTTCATATAGGAAAAGATGAGGCAAACGTAATTTAAGTCATTATACCAAGCTAACATTATTACTGTACTTTTTTTCCCTAAGATCTGATAGATATGTTTATAAATAGCAACTGAATTCTAAGTTAATGCACATTTTAAAAATTGACATATAACATTATATTAGTTTCAGATGTACAACATAATGATTCAATACTTGTATATATTGCAAAATAATCACCATAAGTCTAGGTAACATCTAATTAACATAAGACATTTTAGTACTTTGTTGTATGACATTGCCTTATAGATTTATTACACAAGTTTATTATGTACCTTGTGCTTTTATCATAGGGTCTGTCAAAGTTGCAACTCTAAGAACCCAAAATGAATGCCTCCATGAAAAAAATTGCACATAGAATTATGGTCCTTCTGTCCTTCTAAAATCATGTTCTATTTTCTTTTAGAGTAATTTGTCTCTTAGGTAAGCACTGGGTAGTCCCTTCCATTAAGAGATAGAAAAGAGGTTGATGTCAAGGGCGGGGGGGAAAAAAGGACACATATGTAATACCCTTTGTAATACTTTTAGCAAAAAAAAAAAAAGAAAAGAAAAGAGGTTGAGGAAAGGGTACTTTCTTACTGGGGGTAGAGTAAGCAGAAGGGGTGATAGCACTGTGCCTCAGTATCCCCTCCCATAATTACTACACGGACCATCCTCATGAGAAAGTAGAGACCATGGAAGTTGAGGTAGGAGAGATGGAAAACCAGCCAGCAGTAAGAATGACAGGAGCCAGCTTCAATTTTTACTATTCTGACAATTCATTCTTTTAGGTTACCAGGTACCACTTTGCAGTATCTTTACACTCTCCATGTGTACATAGACGTACAACATATGCCAAGTAAAATCCCTTGGCCTTAAAATACAAATGGTTCAATATTTCTAAGATGAATCAACATCGATTAGCCAGGTTCTCAGATGTCACAACAACGTAAGGTTGAAGATCCTGCAGTTCCAGGTGCCTAGGCTTGCATCAGAAGGGAATGCTGAACACACCAGTGGAGACCACACTCTGTGCCTTCACATATACCTCGAATCTGCCCACTTCTCTCCATCTCCTTGGTAATCACCCAAGTCTAGACCCTTGCTACTCAAAGTGTGGTCTAAGGCAGGGTTCAGCAAACTTTTCTGATAAGGGCCAGATAGTAAGTATTTTAGGTTTATGGGACATAGAGTCTCTGTGGCAACTGCTTACCTCTGCAGTCATAGCATGAAAGCAGCCATAGATAACATGGAAACAAGTGGCTATCTATATATATAAAGAGCCAGGGGCCATCGCAACCGAACAGATGACCAAACAGGCTGAGTGGGGCAACAAGGCCGGCAGGAGGGTTAGTGAGGGATAACCAAACGACTGAACAGCAGGCTGTGTGGGGCGACTAGGTCGGCAGAGGGGGGCA